TTTTAAAAATCAATTTTTAGGTGGACTCTGCTCTCATAATTTAGCCTAATTAGTTGCCAGTTCCTTACAAGAATGAAATTTCCTCCAATTTTTAATATGTTTCTCATTTCCTTCTGAAACTGCATCAATGACCTTTTACTGTTCATATTTCTTCCAACATTATTCAGAATTATTTAAGTAATTAGGTTGAGGAAGGTTGAGACTCTATAGTTCTCTTCTTTCTGAGCCAGGAAGATTGAGTCTCTATAGTTCTTTTCTTTCTGAGCCCCACCAGAATTGTCCTCAATGATCTAGACATGGCAATGCAGAATTTTGTAAGCATTCACCTCAGAATGCCTTCCGTCTCTACACATCACACACTTCCAAAGCCACGTAAACATTTTAAAATATTTGTTACAGCAGCAACCTACTTATGGTATCAATTTCTATCTTAGTCAGTTTGCACCACTGTAACAAATTACAATAGACTAAATGGGTTATAAACAACAGAAACTTATTTTTTCACAGTTCTGGAGCCCAGGAAGTCTAATATCAAAGGCCTGACAGATTCAGTGAAGGTCAATTTTCTGGTTCAAAGAGTCATTGTTTTGTTATGTCCTCACATAGTAAAAAGGCAACAGAGTTCTCTCGGGCCTCGTCTATAAAGATACTATTCTCATTTATAAAGACTCTGTGCTCATGATCTAATCATCACCCAAAGACCTCATTTCCTAGTATTATTACCTTGAGGATTAGAATTTGACCATCTGACTTTTGGAGTAACACAACCATGCAGCTGGTAAGAACTTAATAGAATTACATTTAATACCGGGAGCATTAACAACTATCAGACCCAATTTAAATCCTGCCTTCCACCTTTCCCACAAAATCCCTACTCCCCTGTAGTACCCTGGGATTAGCAGTTGGTTTCAATAAACAAAGCCTCACTTTGCCCTTCTTCTAATGTCATAACATTTCTTGTAATACTACTGTGAGGAGATTTAAAGAAACTCCTTTTTAAGAGACTCAGCATAATACCTAGGATCAAAAAAACAAACAAACAAAAGAATAATTTTGATTGTTAGAATAATAGATATTAGCAGGCTATGTCTGAAGCAGTAGAACCGAATAGCAAAAAAATACCGACATTAAATTCCCAGTTCTTCAGTTTCTGTTTATGAACTTTTGGGAAATTATTTAAACTATTTGTGCCTCAGTTTCCTTGTAGTAATAATTTAAGGGATCACATAAGATCTACAGGAACTCTTTAACAAAGATCCTATATAAGACACATATATGTTTTCAAATTAAATTATATAAAATTTTTATGGGAGTGAGTCACTTTGCTTTCTGTTATTAATTATGCCTAAATAATGTTAACAATAGAAGTATAAAGTATAAAATGACTTATTTCGCCAAAATAAGAAAACAAATTCTTTATTTGTCTAATCAATATGCTTTTCCACTGATATAAATGCCAATCAATGAATGGCTCGATTGTCTACTAGATTCATAAAAAATCGAGAAGTTATACTTTCTTTTTCTTTTCCCTTTACCCTCCATAACCAATACACAAGATGATAGTATCTACTGTTCAGAATATCTAAGTATGTGGATTTTATCCATGTCTTAAGTCTAATTCCTCAAAAGCAAACCTTGAGGCAAGGATTTGTGTGCAATTGACTAGTTAATAAATTTGTTTCGGGTAAGGAATTGAAGCATAAAGAAATAGATCAGGGATGGAAAAGAAGCAAAGCAAAGATGTCAGAGTCTCAACTTCTGCATGATTCTGTGGGGGCTCTCCAGGATGTACATAGTATGTGGGTTTTCAGACTTCTGCATCTGTTATATACCTCCTATGGGATTTTACAGAAGGTGTTTGTAGACTTGCAGACACGTTAGGCTTTGTGTGCATGTAGGCAAAGTGTCTCCAGTAGCCAAGGGAAACTATTCAAAAATAGTTGCAGGTGGAGACCATTAGAAGCAAAAGTGTTCAAAAATTGTACTGTATGTATTGTGTGTGTGTAACTTTATTAAAGATTAAAAGGAATTTGAGCAAAGTATCATGTCTACTTCAAACTGCTTCTCTGTATGCAATCATCATCTCTTACTGGAATAGAGCAATAGTCTCTAATTGATCTCTCCCTTAACCAAATCCCTTTCCTAACCTTTAACCTATTTTTGTAGTCTGTACCAGACTGATCTTTTCTAAACATGTCATGTTAAAGTCTTCCAATCGCTTTCCATTGCACTAAAATTGTGAATTTCTTGCTGTAGTTTGCAAAAGCCTATGGGATCCTGGCCTCTGCCTAAGTCTTTTCTCTATCTATTATGACCAGATTTTTCTGCTCAAAGGCCCTCATTTCACACAAAGTGGGGCATCATCGTTAGAACAGACCCTGGAGAATAAAGAGCACTCTTCAATTTCTCTTGCTAGGGTTATCAGCAAGGTCAGTGTCCAAAAGGAATCCTCCCAGTGGAGAAATGCGAGGGTAACCAGTGTGGTCGACTAAGGAACTTATTATATGTTATCAAAGCAAAATAACAGCTCCCCTTGAGATTTTCTGACTGTTCATTTTCCACTGCTCCATCACTGATCTATAAAATACAGGCCATGTTCTGGGCCAGTGGCCACTAGATGCTACTTTTTCATTACACATTTTAAGCACTATTTAACACTGTAGATTTCTGATATTCTTATCAGAGTTTTACATTGTTGTGTTTCAATTTAACAATTATTCCATAGTTTACAGATTATGAACAGTCATTAGAAGTCTTAATAAATGATAATTACCATCACCTGAGATTTCAAAGTCATAAAATAATATGACTTTGGGTTCCTGTCATTCAGGAGTGTGTATCTTTGTGAGCCTATGAATGTATTATGCTATGTGGGAGTAATTTTTAAGTAATGGATATGGAAATCAGTGTACATGGATATCCCGAATAACCAAGAGCTCTAGACCATAGCAAGCAGCTATTACACTACCTACCAATCACTACCTGTTTTTTGCTGTGTTGGACCCATATCTCTTCTTGAAAGCAACCCTGCCTGGTGATGATGATGTTGATGATGATAATAATGTTAATGATGATGATGATGATGATGATAGCTCTAACTTGTTGAGCTGCTTGCTAGCACTGTGTTAACAACTTTACATTCATTATTTCATATAAAAATGGTGTTTCAAGTTATGGGTCTGAAATCTGGTTCTAATACACGTTACTTATGTGATCATTGTCAAGTTACTTAGCTTATTTTTACCACAGTTTTCTCATAGATAGATAGATACGTATGTATGTATATATATACGTATATATATATACTGTTTAAAAATAACCTGTCATTATAATATACTTGACTATTACTATATATTGATAAAAGTTGAAAACAAAATAAAGAACAATATCTTGTGAGCCAGGTACTAATTATTATTTTTGTATAGACGGAGTAATGGAGACCAAGCGATGTATGTAAATATCCAAAATCTCACAGATAGTTGGGGATAAAACTAAATTAGAGCCTTATATTTGACCCTAAAGACTTGTTGCCTCAATACTGATTCATAGATGTTTTATTCAGCATTGGGTATCTGGTCCAAGTCCATTTCCTGAATTTTAAAATCTTAAGTTAGAAACACTATCAGTTGCTTTCTGGAACTGAAGATGTTAAATCTGTACTTTGGAGATACTATCACCCATATTTTTGTATCAGGTTCAGGGGACTTAGTCAGAATAAGAGAGAAAAAAATAGAAGAGAGGAGGGAGAAAGAGACAGACTGACAGACAGAGAGGGAGGGAGACAGACAGAGAGAGAGAGAGAGAGAGAGAGAGAGAGAGAATGAATGAGAATATGCTACTCAAGCCCCTGATTCTAGTTTTCATAATCACAAAATGCCTACTCACACTTTTCTTTTTGGTAGATTTCCCACACTTAATTTGATTTTATAATCCAATGTGCCAGCGTTTTTTTGTTTTTTTTTTTTTGCCTACACTACCTTGAGATTGGTTTCTATTGCTTAACAGATATCACCTTCTCACAGTTTCTAAATATAATATCATATAAATTAAAAACAATTTGATAACAAATAAAAACTAGTTCTGAAATACCAAATGAGCTATAGTACTAATACAAGAAGAATCAACTTACTATCCCAACAAGAGGATATTATTTCTCAATTCTGGGTCGAATTATCTCATAAGTAAAATGCTAAATCTAAATTTATAATATAATTTTGTATACTTTTTTCTTATTATTTTCAGAAACAAATGTTTTTCTGTTGACTTTAATTATCAGATAAAATATTTTATTTGAGAGTATGTATTCCTCAGTCTTAAATAAATGTGAGGGCCTTCTCTACTAATTACTGGAAAAAATAGACATCAACTGCAAGGATCAAGATGATGCTAAGTATTGCAAGACACAGTCCTAAGTATATTTGGTGCCATTTAATTTGCCTTCAGAAAACATTTCAACCTATTACAAAAGAAGAAGGAGAAGGACAAAAAAAAAGGAAGGAGGAAGAGAAGAAAAAGCAGAAAGAAGAGACGAAACAGCTTGTAAAAAATGTAGATTGTGGAAAGAAAACAGTGTTTTTTAAAGTCTGCATTTTCATGCACACATTACATATTAATAAATATTCTACTTTTATTAATCTTAAGGACTTTGGAACATTCTATCTGATCATTGTTGTAAAATATAGCTTTCTTTTTCAAAATATTGAATGTTTTAAATTACAAATAAATTCACATTTATCTAACTATCTTATAGTGATCCTAAAGTTAGTTATTAAATACCTGTTTCGTTTACTTGAGATATGCGTGTGTCTAATTAGCTTCATGATATAGTTAACTATAGTTATATAGATTTTAATGATAGTTCGTTGATATAATACAGAAAAAATATGAAGTAAATTATAAAATTTTAATAATATTTGGAATAAATGTTTCAGTTTACAGGTTATGAGAAAGTGAAACATAACCTAATGAGACCATTTTTCTTGTCCTACTCTTCAGGAGAAACAGACAATATACTGAATTTGACATCCTGCTGAAGTCACAGATAATGAGGACTTACAATTGCCTGCCATTATTCATCTGGACCTATATGTTTTACACAGTTGACACCATCCTATTGCAAGAAAGAGCTAACAGTCATTTACCAAGCAAAAAGATAGTGGGTCTGACAAAAGATGATGGTAAAATGTTACGTCGCACCAAGCGTGGCTGGATGTGGAATCAGTTCTTCTTGTTGGAAGAATACACAGGCACAGACACGCAATACGTAGGCAAGGTAAGAATTTTTACATAAGAAATCCTAAAGCTGGAATGACAACTATTTTCTTATTTTTACAAAAACTTTTCACATCACTAATGAATAGTCAAAAAATATTTGACTAATCACTATGTTCAGAAGCCATGGTGTTGCAAATTCTTTGCAGCTGGGTGAGAAATGTGACATATTCAGGTGCTAAATGTGAATCAGTGTCCACAATAAACGCCAAATAAGTCACATATGGATTTAATTCACTGTTATTGATTTGATGAGACAAAACAAAACTTAATTGTAATATAGCCAAAAAATACTAAAATATGTTGGTCTGTTGATGAATAGTTTATCATAATTAAGAATAATATACTCTGTATGAGAAATACAGTACTTCTAGATTCTTCTCTTTCTTAATATCAGCCATGCTAAACTTCCTGCTTATAATCCAGATTTAGTCTGGGTTCAAGGCAGAATAAGAAAGACGGGCCGGGCTTGGAGGCTTAGCCTGTAATCCCGCGCTTTGGGAGGCCGAGGTGAATGAATTGCCTGAGCCCAAGGCTTCGAGATCCACCTGGGCAACTTGGCGAGACCTCATCTCTACAATAAATCAAAAATTAACCTGGTGTGGTAGTGCACGCCTGTAGTTCCAGCTACTTGGAAGGCTGAGGCGGAAGGATCGCCGAAGCCCAGCAGGCCGAGGCTGCGGTGGCCGGGAGCGTGCCACTGCACTCCAGTCTGGGCAACAGAGTGAGATTCCAACTCAAAAAAAAAGAGAGAGGGAGAAGACAAAAGAAAGAAAAAGTAGACACTTCCTTTAGGAAGATATAATTTTATGTTTGCAGCAGCAACAACAGTTGCTCTGTAGTAATCAGAAGAAAATGATAATAGAGAATATGTAACTTCATTCTTGTGTTCTATTTTGAGAAAGCAGGTTCATTGCCTCTCTTCTCTATTTTTAGTTTTTAGAGACTTCCTTTTCTTTCTTCAGTTCATTACCTCCCTCTTTTTTCTTTAGTGCTATGACCTTTCTGATGTCCATCATTTTGTATTTATCTATCATTCATACCCTTAGCTATCTCATTCATACCATTCCACATTCAGAAAAATTCATTTGTTTACTGAGATTATCCCCAATTTATTCCCATTGCTGAAAGACTTTAAATTCTTGAGACTAAAACAAAAATATAATTTTCAGTACTAACATTGGCCATAGATCATATATTAACTTTTCTTGATGTTTGGTGCGTGAGTACTTGAAGTGACTGTAATGGTCTGAGTGTTGTTTCATTCACTGAGAGCACTAGGCAAACAAATTAGAAAAAGTCAAAAGTAAAAACAAAACAAGTATCTGATATGGCAACAGTCATAACTTTTTCTTTTAAACCAGAAATACCTTTATTCTGTGAAACTGCCAAACTCTTGATCTAATTCTTTATTCTGTGTGTGGGCCAATCAAAGACAGCCTCTTTTATCAGAAGTCTATTATTTCCTCTTCTTTTGAAATGTCTCGCTTCCAGTTCCATAGGTCATGTTCATTTCGCCCCATCCTATACTCTTGCTGATTCTTTTTTTTTCCTGTTATTTCTTCTCAAGTTAGTCATATGGCATCCTCTGGCATCCCTCATTTAGCATCACTTTTCACACTAGAGTTAATAACTAACATCAAGAAATTCAAGCTCAGCTAGCAAATGTTGTGTCTAAGGATGTGAAATTGCCTTATGATTCTTTTTCTAGGACAGTGTATAAAGGACACATTGAGGTCACAAGGCCTTGCAGAAATGGTTTTATCCCTGGAGATTCATAGATACAGAAGAATAACCACAGACAAAAAGAGTTACTGATAAGCTTGTGGCAGTTAAGGCCGTACTACAAGCATTCACTTTTAGCTGAAAACAAAAGCGCTTCCTACTAAAAATTGAATGTGCATTGATTAATTGCTAAATTGTCCACCATTTCTGCACTGACATTTAAAAATATTAAAATCATTTTGCATACTTTTGTTTATTTTTAATTAATTATCTAATTTGTCATAAAAAGTTACTATATGTATATACATAGTTTGATTTAATTACTTTTCCTAAAATATATTCTTAAATTTATCCTGGAAAAATGACCTCTTTGTTTTACTCATGGACAAGTTAGTGTATTTAATTTTTTGCCTATTTATTCTCAACAACCAAATCATAAAATGAAAAATTCATTATAATAATTTGATTTTTCTGATAACCAAAAACCAGAACACTGTCAACTATTTTAGCATTATCCATGGAAATAATACATGTATAAAAGAGATGCTCCAACAAAATATAACACATATGCCACTTTTTAAAAAAATAAGATAAAATGCTTTCTTATTTTTGTTACAGGACCTTGTCTAAGGCATACCATTACCACATACCTAGTTCATTACAAACGTGGGATTTCTTTTTTTAAGATTGGAAAATATAGTTTATTTAGCATGTAAGTTAGAGAGAGAGAGAACAAATGTGGGATTTCTAGCACTTGATAGCATTTATTATTAAGGGCCTAATCTGTTTGCCTGTCTTTTGACCTCCTTCATTTTCATATTCATAGACAAGCCAGACCCTTAACCCTAAACTTGGTCAAATACATACATTCTGATAAGGATTTATCTTCCTGAGCACCACACAGATTGTTTTTTTAACCACAATCTTTCTGATTGTCTTAGGTAAACCTGAACCTACTCTTCTAGAATCCAGTGCATGGTGGTATTGCCTGTAAAAAAAAAAAAAAAAGCCCGGTCATATTCACTATGTATAATGATTGGAAAGTGATACACATATTCTAATGGTAGCAAATTTTCGTAGTTTGTTCTTAGTTTTATAGAAACTAGGTACCAAAGAAAATTATAAGAAACATACTGATTTATAGGTGGCATAACATTGCCTATAGTTGCAAGGATGTATAATTTCTGGAGATAAAAACTCTGGTTTGATCCTGAATTTAGAGGAAGCCACTATAGAACAAGTAGATAGTAGCAGCAAAATTCAGTAAGCCACACACACACATACTCACAAACATGCAGCTTAAAAGATTTAGTCTTGATTTTCCCACTCGGTAACTATATCCAACATGGATGTTATTTAAAATGCCAAACTCAGATTCTTGTTGGGTTAAATTAAATTTTCACTAAAAATGTTTTATGTCACATTTCTGATATTTTTCTATGATTTTGTGAGGGTCTGCCATTGTCAGTAAGAAAAGCCAGAAGAAAAAAAATAATTAAAATATGCATGAACCTAAGAAGGTGAGATTGCATATAGCACAATAAAAGGTAAAAACAAAAAGGCTCGTCTGGTAGGATAAAGTTAGTCCTCCACTGTGAAAGGTCTAGACTTTTAGGCTGAGTTGTTTTTACATACAGGATGGACTGTGAGTCATCTGTTAACAGCTCTTGTACAAATGAGTTATAGTTTAAGTAAAAGCCTGGAATGATCAGTTTGCTTTCATTGTCAGGATGAATTAGAAGAGGATGAAAATGACGTAAGATGATATTTTATATGGAAATACTGTAGAAATTTTATTTATGCCATATCCGATATTTGTAATATAGAGAAAAAATTCAGAAATGCTGGAATTAAGAGCAACTTTTTGTTTTTCACAATAATGCATTTTGAAGATTGGTCACATTTGATTGAAACTATCAAAAATGTACTAATATTGTTTTAAGTAATAAGGGAAACCTTTGTTCTTACTCAGGAGGATTATAAATCATAATCACCATCTATGTACTTTATCATTTAAATAGACACCATGGAACTGAATTATTTAGGCAGAATAGTAATGCTGTTCAAGAGAGGAATTAAAATAAATTTAACAAGAGGCATAGCAAATGCTCCCACAAATCTGTTAGAGAATCTTCATAAGCACTTGATTTTTTACACATCAGATCAAGGTCCTGAAAGAATCCCTGGTTATCAGGGATTAATAATTAATTAATCATATATCAATTATTATAGATAATTGGGCAGAATTTAACAATTTGATTTAATATCTGGTTGTTAAATCACATTTGTTTCATGAAGAGTCATCCAATTTCCAGACGTAGGAGATATAGTGTTTATTCTTTTTGCAAACAAATGTTAAGATTCACTAAAAATTGGCCAGCCGAGGTGGCTCATGCCTATAATCCTAGCACTTTGGGAGGATTGCCTGAATCAAGGGTTCACAACCTGAGCAACATGATGAGACTTCATCTGTACAATAAATTTAAAAATTTTCTGGACATAGTGGCACACACCTGTAGTTCCAGCTACTTGGAAGGCTGAGGCGGAAGGAATGCCTAAGCCCAGCAGGTCAAGGCTGTGGTGGCCATGAGCATGCCACTGCACTCCAACCTGGGTGACAGAGTGAGACTCTGACTGAAAAAAGAAAAAAAAAGATGCACTGAAAATTGTTAAATATTAACTTAATTGTCCATTACACTTTAATTCAAAAATATGTATTAGCACTTGCTTTGTGCAAAGCAAGGAACATGGTGTCAATGAACTGCCTGTAGTCAATATCAGAATACAATAAGGCATCTTTATTCCAGAATTAGCTGTCAAGTTTTGTAATTTTAATGTAGAGATTTGTAAATTTTATTCTAAAATCATCGGAAGCATAACTGTAGACTGTAGAGTGAAAGAGGATTTTAACATTTATCAAGATCTGCCTTCTTGGTTAAAATTAGTTTAGGTGTTAACGAAAACAATTGGAAACACAGGTACCAAAAGTAAAACGGATAGGGACCTGGTTTAAATTTGATTGAGTATCAAAATGTGACATAACCTCTTTCAAACTTACATATGCTGATGTGTTCACTAAATATTGATATATCCCTAAAGCACATATAAAATGATGGGCTTTTAATATGCAATTTTCTCTGATACTTTTCAGATGCGGCAATTTGATGTGCACATGTAACAGATGGAAGAGACATTAGAGACAGAGATAAAATCTCAGATTTACTGAAAGATTTTTAATGAGTTTTTATAGTATATTAAAGTGTTTTTCAAAATCTA